CGGTGATCCGGTGGCATTTCAAGTTCAATACACTACCTACGTCGTTTGATATACCGGTACTGAGAATAAATAGGTACCGTAGTCCAAGGTAATGAATCCGAATAAATAATTCATTATTTGCATTCGGAAAGTCAGAAATTCAGATTTCCCGTTCGGAAAGTGGAAATTCGGAAAGGTTAAATAAATCTGAAATGGTCCTCGGAAGGCTGAAAACTGCACAAATCAGTCCTAAAATGCTTCTTCAAGTATGAACATAGGGCATTCGGATTCTGGTCGGAATCCGCATAAATAAATCCGCACTCCTGATCGGATTGTTGGAAAATATTACTGGAAAAATCCTTTCGGAATGATCACGTTGGACTACGGTATGACCAAACGCTGGAACGACAACTCAGGATTTATCCATTTTGAGGCCGCCTCAATCTGGGCTAGCACCAACGCAGCAGCCACGGTTTCTTCATGCAGGTTCAACTTTCGTAATATTAACTTCAATTTTGCAAGTAGCTAGGTGCAGCAGGTGCAGCAGGTGCAGATTGGAGCCACCCGGCCTACTCTAAATTGTTGCTTTTGATGACGGTTTTGAATTGTACACACATGCTCATTGAGGGTCTAGCTCCTAGGGACAGCGCGATGGCGGCAAAGAGAAGCTTCCGCCTATGTAGCCTTGTTTTCCTGTCACTCTTGTGCTTCTCGCATTCTGCGGGGGCGAACGTTATAGATGATGACAACACAGCAAGACTTTTGGAGCTAAACGACAAAACCTTTGAGCATGACACGCAGGCAGCAAGTGGGCAAACAACGGGGGTCTGGTAAGACCAGCTTTTATGGCGCCCATTTATCTGTGGAGTTGCTTGAAGTTTCTATTTGCAAGTCAGCTCATCTAAGTTTAGCCTGTGGCAAGCTAGTGGATTTCTTCCAGGAAGTCACGACGTCTCCTCAATCGTTTGGAAAGACTCATTGTGGAGCACACAAATGTTAAATTGGTTCTTAGAGCTAGAGTGGTGGTACAATTGATCAAGTGTACAATTCGGCGAGAGGTCTGACGGGACGAAGGCGCACGACCTGATTGTTCAGGAGCAACAATCTCTGAGACCAGGAAAGGTGGAGACAATCTTGTTGTGTATGTTTAGCGATCTTGCTTGTGAACTTATGCGTCCCGAAGCCAAACAGGTATGGGTCTTTGGGTCACAGAAATCCAAGCAGTGGGTGTGATTTGCAGGTTCGTCCTTTTTGGCGCACCAAACTGCCCCGCCTGCGAAGCAATTGAAAAGGCATTTCGCGAACTTGCACAAGACTTTGAAGACAACGCAATCTTGGCGAAGGTGAGCCTGTCAACCACGTAAAGTGAATCCTTTCTTATGGACTAAGGTTAAGCAATGGCAGATTCTCGTTTTCTGCCACTCAGCCGACCGTACAATCAGAGAATGAGCAGTAGAAAGGCTGCCGAACATCTCCTGACATGATTGGTTGGTGAGATTTGAAAGCTCACAAGCCTCGTGCGAAAAGAGGCAGATAAGGAAGATGGCACATGGAAAGCGTTTTGACTGGAGAGCGTCTTTAAAGCGGTGTTACCTCATAATCTCCTTGGTGACCCATCTGCCAACCGTTTATTCCTTCACTTCTTTTGCGTGATCAAACAATTAGAAAGAAAGGCGGACACAGCCGCAGTCATGATTCGCCGTTGCAAGATTTTCTAATTTGAGGCGCCAGTGAAGTCGCACTACAAATCCATTTCTATTCGGCCCCTGGAGTTTAAGTTCATTCGTATCACCCTGATAACTTCATGGAACCACCTGTACTATCCCCAAAGCTTTCCACCCCTGAAACCCTCCGACTGTTGCAACTCGTCTAAGCCAGCTCATGTCCAAAGACCTCTTCTCCTACCTCTTTTTGGAACTATTCTCTCACAAGAGGCGGCCTGATCTCAGGCACCTTCTAGTCACAGTAAAGCCAACTGAGTTCCACAGATGCCCAGGTTTGCTGTTTCCTTCTCAGGTTGACGTAACGGGAAACCCCGTCACGGCCTATCGTTTTGACATCCAAAGCACGCCCATCCTGAAACTGTTCCGGGACCGGAAAATGTACTCGTACACGGGAGGTCATTCGGCAGACCAGTTCAGAGAGTTTCTGGAGGTGAGGTTCATTGGACACCAGTAGTTTTTTTCAGGTGTGTGTCTTCCAAGATGTGATGGTTGGGCAGTGAGTCGCTTTGTTCAAATAAATGTTCGAAATCTCAAGTGAGAAACTCTAGGGATCAACGAGTCCTTTTATCTCGAAGCCCCTTTTGCACTCCAGAAACAGCTGTCACAACAAACAGCGTACGGCACCGATAGGTTGCACGTCTCCGATTTCAGTCTATGAGGTACTTTGGCCGGAACGATGGATAAAAGCTGCACTCTTGTGCCATCTCAAGACTCAAGCAGTAGCCTTCTGAGCAGGGAGACGCTCTTCGACCTAAGAGGCTGTGACTATATCCCCAATATCGAGAGTGGTTGATCCCAACGGTTTGGATCTGTCAGCATTACAGGTCGTTTGGAAGAGGCCGCATCAATCAGAGACGCTGGGGATTCAATCACGCCTATGTTGCACATTAACCTCGGGTTAAATCAACGACTTTCTGGATCCTGGCAGGCTTATCGGCGGCTTCAGCAGTGCTGGCGTGATCAAGTTCTACGAAACCAATCCTCTATCTGGTCGATGCGAACCCTACCCCAGCAAAAATGTCCGCACTGAGTACGTATGTCTACAGAGCTTGATATGTTCCATCTGCTATTTAGCAGGGCGGGTATCGGGCTGCGCCAGCTGAGAGCGTGCCGCTCGAGAAAGGCGTGGTGCAGCAACTGAGGGAGAAGCTGGCCACCGCGTGGGCTGAGTACAATAAGGTAAGACGCTTCGATTCATTCTGTAGGCCCCCATCATTTTGCCAAAGTTAATCTTCGCTTATCTCAAGTGTCTAATGGCCGTCTTTGATTAGAACGTTTCGAGCTTACCGTCCAGTGCTTGGTTGATTAAATGTACTTGGAGGATTCGCCTTTTTTGACAGTCCGCTGTTTAATCTTTATGTGTTTATTTTTTGATAACTGATTCGTCTAAGAATCTACCTGAACAGTGCACCGTTGCCACCCTTTTGCACTCTAAAAGTTGATTTGATATCAAAAGATTCTTCGACCTGGTCAGCAGTTCCCGCACTTTTTCGGAGGGGAAGTAACTTTGCTTGTCCTTCTTTCAGTTGAACCCTCTTGCGCGGCTGTCTGGCGCTCTGCTTCTACTCCTGGTGGCCACATCCTTAATCCGGTTCCAGCAAGCGGGGACAGATCGAGTTAAAAAGACAAGCGCTCGAGTGAAGCAGCTACACAAAGCGCAACAAGAGAAGAAAGGGCGATGAAGTATCTAAGATATCGAACCTGGTCATTGAGTGCTTTGGAAAGCGTTTGTATCCTTCGCTTCAACCATCTCGTATCACGTCGTGATTTCAATGGAGTCTAGTCAATCTAAAGTGCCTGAATCCCGTCACCTCGAAAGATCAATCTTCGGTCATGTGCGGTTGCCCTGCAACATCTCCATTCAACCTGCATTTCAGTGTGTCAAGAATGAGACCAATGCATATCCGCGAGTAGTTGGAAAGGGTTGACGAACTCAAACTTCTGACTGTAATTGTTAAGGTTCGATCGGAACGCCGGGATGCAAAGAGTGGAGGCTTCCGGCCATCCCACTATATTGAAGGTGTAAAGTTCTCGGTGTTTCGAATCTCTAGTCAAGTCTGAAGTCGTCAAAGTCCACTTTGTATGTGCGAATGAGCTGCACTTATATATGAGCTCTTGGTGGTGAGCGAAAGCCCACATTGAATGATACTTGAAATTGCTCAAGCACACATGATGCGCTCCCATTGCGCTCAGGGCGAGGTTGCTTGGATATTTACCCATCACACCATAGCCTGGTTACACACACTCACACATCATGCACCACTGCACTGGCACACTTTACATAGCACTAGGTAATCTAACTTGAATGGGCTGGCTGGCAAGCTCCAAGAATTCCTTCCGGCCAATTGCTGCATGTGGAATGCATTATGACCATCATGACCATCATGACCAGCATGACCATGATGAGCGTCATGACCATCATGCAGGCCGAACTTCCCAGCAGCCGAAAACTCGACGCTAGAATTTTGGCCGCGAGGAGACCTGAAGAAATGTGCCAGGGCCCAGCTGAATCTTGCTGGTCGCCGCAGCCGCCAGCTGGCAATGGTGCAGAGCCTTTAGTGGTTTGAGTTTAGACCCTACCCATGTGTGCCACATGGCACAAAGTTGGTCATGTCGAACAACTTATGTCCACGAATCCTTTCAGCTTCTGTTGAGAATTCAATCGAACGGTCCAAGGTGAGCGGGAGTTGCACTAAAGACGAACTACAAATTCGATACAGGCTACTTCTGAGCAACTGCCTGCAAGCCCGCAGCTAGAGACGATCGAGAAAATCTTGCTTTCCTGCATGACATTTCCAAAGGACGGGCATTGCAATCTGCATATGAGCTGAGTGAAAGTCGTGCTGTGGAAATGTCATGGTCTCCTGCTCAGACGTCTAACAACCGCTTCTGAACAGGAGTGATTGGTGACAAAGTATCTACTGAAGTGTTTGCAACGTACAAAGCAATGTTCTAGATTTGCCAGGGGTGTGTGCCGGCGTAGAGATCTGTTGCTTTAGGTGCTCAGAAAGTTTCTGGCATATGGATATGCTTGGCAACCTTGTTTCGTTACGAGCAAAATAGTACTCAAGATCTTATAGTCTGCAACACAGGGGTGAGGGTATTGGTTGGGGCAGTCACGTGGAAAAAGCTACCTAAAGGAAGGAGAAAGGCAGGCAGAAATTTCCGAGAAGTTTCTGGGGAAAGCTCCTGGGCAGTTCGTGTGTCCCTGCATTGCACGAGTCTCGTGCAGCGGTGAGGAAAAGCTGCTTCTCCTCTGTTGCTTCTTGTAAGTTTGCTAGATGTTGCGCTCAACAAGAACATAGGATACTTGATTGAAGGTGGTGAACGCGTCGATTATCCGGAAAATGATTTGTTACAAGGCCTCCGTGGTCTCTACAAGTCTCTAGGGACATCGTGGCAAGCCTCCAAGAGAGGTTAATACGCATTTAGTGTTCCAACCAACACAGTACGAGTAAACGAGCTTTCTCATGGCTGCTGAGTTGCAGCGCTGCTAGAGCTAGCTTTTTCAGTTGTGGCTGTACTTTGCGAATCTGCACTCTGCGTGCCAGGGTGTCTCAGAAGAAAGAATGACTTACCCTGCAAATCTTCACCGCCTTCAGATGGCTGCTTACTATCTGACTCATGGCGACATTGCGCTGATGTCGTTAGCCGCTCGTTAAAAATGCGATGCTGAATCGAATATAAGAAATTCCGGCGGGCAGAAACTTCCATTTCAGCATGATGTTACTAGGATAGATGATTATATGTGGGATCGCAGGCGGCTTATGTATCTTGTCGACTCTCTTTGACATGACCACACCATACAAGCTGGTGATTTTGCTTGAGTGGCAGAGTGGTTCCCGTTGTGTTGGTCACTCCCCTAGATGGTGTTTCGGATTGATTTATCCAACTCTTCTTGATCACAGGTTGGAGCTTTCTTCCGGAGTCTACTTAGGTTTAAAGAGTAACAAGCGCATAGAAGCTACAGAAACCTGCTGCGTGTGCAACACCCAGGAGTAGCGGCAGCAAACAGGGTCTGAAGACAGAAGTAGGGCGGGAAAAGGATCAGATGGAGGGGGAAGAAATAGCATAGCAATCAGAGGGGCGGAACTCGGCGCGCAACTCGAGCAGGTAGCAGTTGGCACGATTCACGTCCAACCTCGAAAGATCGGTGGGCCCCTCTGGGCAGTATGTGGTGCCTAGACCGTCAGCCGGATCGCTCGTGCCTCGTAGCCTGTTTCTCGCACGCCAGGGGATAACCCGCCGCTTCCTCCATAAGCTATGGGCCGGTCGAGCAGCCCGGGGCCGACCGAGGTCCTGGCAGCCCCCGGCGCGCCTCCCCCCTGGTCGCCCTCAATGCTAACCAACTTTGACCTCCCAGCAAACCTCCACTTTGACTCCCTGGGGGGAAAGGACGAGCACGCGGCACACCCCCTTCCGAATGGCTCTCCGAGCCCCCCCCCGGATGTGTTTGAGGAGCGCACTGCGAACAGTTGGGGGGGGGCTTTCTCAGGGGATCTCTTCCCCAGCAGCCCGGGTCTAAACGGCCAGGAGGGGATGAGTCCCCTGGACCCGAGTAATGATGCGCTGATGTCAGAGCTGATGGAGTTGGACCCGCTTCCGGATCATCTGACGGACGGCTGGCTGGGGGGTCCAGACGCTAGCTTTTCTCTGTTTGGGGTCCCCTCCCCGAGCTCACCCTCCCCCCAAGCGCCCTCCACCTCGGGGGGCTTCTCTTCGATCTTCCGAGGGGCGGGCTCTCCTTCTGGGGGAATGGAGGGCGCGCTTCTTGCAATGTTGGGGGGAAATGCAGGCGAAAGTCTGTCTCAGGGGGGGGGTAGAAACGGGGAGGAAGAGGACTCGCTCGCGCTCGAGCCGCTTCCAAAGCGGGGCCGCAACGGGGGGGAGCCCTTTTTGGACGAGTCCGGCGAGTCGGACAGTCCGAGAGAGCCGGAGAACGTCGAGGTGCAGTCCATCGTCCCCAGGGGGATCCCTCCGGAGACGGACCAGTTTCCGAACCGCTTCCGGGAGCGGCTCTTGCACGCGCTCAAGTTCGTCGGCCAAGCGCGGCGGGACATCCTCGCGCAAATCTGGGTTCCGAAGAAGGAGGGCTCCCGGCAGTTGTTAACCACACGCGAGCAGCCGTACCATGTGGACGAAGCGCTGGATAAGCTGAAAGTGTACCGGAACGTGAGCGCGAGCTTCCTGTTTGACGCGGAGATGGGCACCGGGTTTCAGGGGCTGCCGGGGCGCGTGTTCAAGTCGGGGCGGCCGGAGTGGTCGCCGAACGTGCAGTATTACACGAGCGCAGAGTACCTCAGAGTGGACCATGCAACACGGTGAGAGGGCGTTTTGTGCAATCGGCTTCATTTCACTGCTTGTCTTGTCAACAGTTGGAGAGATAAAGTGACCGGGAGCGCCAGATGCTTGACACCATAGTGGCCCCTGGTTCTTGATCCCAAGCTAAATGCTTTTCCAGAGCGTGGAAGCTTTGAGAATGCAAAAGTCCTGCTAAGGATATGGTGCTCTGAGAGTTGAGGCATCGGACATAGTATAGGAAAGTCGGAATGCGGAGGGGAAGCAAGAGTGCGCCATCCTGCTAGCCGCATTGCCAGGTTGCAGCCAGGATTCGTAGAAGGCTAAAATTGAATCTAGGCTTCCCAAAGATAGGGATCTGTGTATATCCAACCCATGTGCAGAGCAGAGTGTTGTGCCATCAGTTAGAACCCCATCTCAACCTTCATTCTGAAGCAGCAACTGAAACTGCACACTTGACTTTCAAACGCATCAGCTCAAACCGCGCGTTGTTATCGTTCTGGTGGTGTCACATCCTCAATGCTGACGTCATTGTGCGCGCAGGTGCAACGTCCGGGGCTCGCTGGCGGTGCCCATCTTTGAGCCAACTAGAGAGGGGCCGGTTGCGGTGATGGAGCTGGTAATGATGGGGGAGGACGTGCGCGCGGGGCAGCAGATCGACTCCATCTGTAATGCTCTGCAGGTGGGTTACTTTTGAGGTTATGCTTGCGCGAATTTAGGGTCAAGGGCGTTCTTGGAGGTGTAGCCAAAAGCTGAGCCAGATCACGCACGGGTTTCATTCTGCATTCAAAACTGCTGAGGGTTGTTTCCCAGGCAGACGGCAGCAGAGATGCGCTCTGCCTTTACGTTGCTTGACGTACTTGTCCCTGAGATCTGGATCGGGAAGAGAAATGATCAGTACGCGGGTTCATCTGCGCTGTCGGTAAGTTGGAAGCCGCCTTGGTACACCGCTTTTCCGTCAAAGGTCTTTTTTTTCTCCAGGGCTTTCCTTCAAGCGACCCCATGGAAGATGTAAAATGTGCTTTCTTCCTGGTCCGCTGACAACTGTGAAGGCGCCTGTTTCAACTTCGAACCCCGTCCCCTTGCATCTTGCATACGCTTTCGTAACGCAACTCTAAACCCCTTCCCTGCAGGCTGTGAGCCTGTCGAGCATTCGCGCATGGGAGCCCCTACCCCAGGAGATCCGCCCCTCGTTTCAGGGGCCCGTCATGCAAGAGATCCTGGACGTGCTAACTAGAGTGTGTGAGGAAAACGGCCTCCCGGTCGCCCAGTGCTGGCTGCCGTACGAATCGGACGAGAGCGGGGGCTCCGGACACGTGAGCGTGGACGAGGGGAAAGTGCTGCGGACGGAGGGGGGGCCGTGCTGCGTGACTGACGCGCGGCTCTGGGGGTTTCGGCAGGTGGGATTTGGAACCCCCCTCAGTGTTTGTTTGGTGTCATTTGCGTTTGTTCTGGAACGGGAAGGGTTTTGAGCATGCTCGGAAGGTGGGTTGATTGTCGCTTGAACTTTGGTCCTTCTTCGTTTGTACGGGATACTACAACGGCAATGTTCTGCAATTGACATTGAAAAGTGGTCGCTGACTGCATAGGCGTACGGAGCCCAACTCTCCCCATTACATATGACCCGCAGCCTCAATTGTGGACAGAGGTGCCTTAAGGCAAGCCCACAGGATTCCGGGTCAGGCGCTTTCGTTTTTTTGGACAAGAGCCGCAATGTATAAGCCCTTTTCTCTTCTGGTGCAAAAAGTACGTTCACCCCCTTCGTCAGTATACGGAGCCCCTCCCGTTTTGTAAACAGGCATGCTGCGAGCACAAGCTCCAAGCCGGGCAGGGCACTCCGGGCCAGGCGCTTCTGCGCAACACGCCCGCGTTCTGTGAGGACGTGAAGGAGCTGAGCAAGTTGCAGTACCCACTTGGACATTACGCGCGCCACTTTGGGCTGGGGGCCGCGGTGTCGATCCGACTCCGGAGTACGCAGGTAGGACTGATGTCCGTTTGCTTTTCTATTTTTCTCCTAAGTCTTCTTGTGTTTTGTAACTTATGATATAAGCTGCTCAGATAGCAAGGTCGTCTTATCGAAATTTGGCCTGAGGGCAGCGGAGTCGATCCTCAGGAGTACGAAAAGAAGGGCAGATGGAGCGTAGAAGTCTAGTCCTACTACGGCCAAGGCCGTATTGCAGCCGTTTGATTGTTGTTTAACAGCCCCAGTGCGTTCAGCATTCGCAACAGGCAGACCTGTCGCAGTGCGGACACGTTTCGCAATGAGTTTGGGCCTAGATTCTATGGTATAGAACTCCTGGTCGCGTATAATCTGGTCAGATGACAGATGTAGGGGAGCAAATACTGACGATCTGCTCCGTTTGTCGCAACTAGACTGGGGACGATGACTTCGTGGTGGATCCCTTCCTGCCTGTCAGTTGCTTGTCGCAGGACTCTCAATCTGGCTTTCTCTGGTGAAGAAGAGTCTCAATCCCCGACATTCACAACACCTTCCGAGCAACCTACTAACTTTAGTGTCGACTAAGCCAGTTTAACTCCGCTCAGCAGCAGACAGACCAGACCTTTCCACTGAAATTGGCATTTTGACTGGAAGTAGCTGTGACACTGACGATCTGATCGGTTCGTCGCAACTGGACGTCGCAACTGGGGACGACGACTACGTTATGGAGTTCGTTTTGCCGGCCAGCTTGCTTTTCAGTTGTTCCCAGTCAACCCATTCAAAAGAACGGGGTCGCGGAAAATCTCCACAAAGTTGGTTACCAGATACTTTTCCCTCTATTTTGCAACCAGACTGGGGACGACGACTACGTGGTGGAGTTCTTTCTGCCGGCCAGCTGCGTGAGCCACGCCGAGCAGCAGGCCGTGCTGTCGGCCATCTCTGCGACGATGGCGCGCAACTGCCGGACGCTTCGGACGCTGCGGCCAGACGAGGTCGACCCGGACATGCTGGACGACTCGGACGAAGACGAAGATGACGACGAGGATCTCGGTAGGTGGACTTGTCATCTAAGATTTGAGGATTGATGTTCGGTATTGGAGTCTTAGAGGTTCACAACAGAGTTGAGTTCGGGTTTATAGATTCGTTTCACTTGCGGACGCGTTTGCTGGACGAGGTCGACCCGGACATGCTGGACGACTCGGACGAAGACGAAGATGAAGACGAGGATCTTGGTAGGTGGACGTCTGAGTTTAGGGGTTCGGGGTTTTCGACACTTTGGGTTTTAGAGTTAGATTTTGGGAATCGGTGTGAACCAATTGATTAGGCTACGGAAGTGCCGGACTGTTCGGACGCTATGGCGGGACGAGGTAGGTTTGGACCCGCTGGACGATTCGGACGATGACGAAGACGACGACGAGGATCTTGGTAGGTGGACGTCTGAGTTTACGGGTTCGGGGTTTTGGAAAGTATGGTTTTAGCGTTGGATTTTGGGGATCGGTATGACGCAGTTGGGCTCGTATGATGCGACGATGGCCCGGAAGTGCCGGACGCTTCGGACATTGCGGCCGGACGAGGTCGATCCGGACATGCTGGACGACTCAGACGAAGACGAAGATGATGACGAAGACTTTGGTAAGAGGAAACGAGATTCTTTGAGCCTCTTTAGCGTGAAGGTTTCTTCCAAACGAATGGGTCTGACTTGAGGTAGGCACCGTAAGTGAAGAAGTCGCCGGAAGGTAAGATCCTCCTTTCAAGGGGCGTCTTCGGGTTGGGCTCGTGCCTAGAAAATAAGGTAAAAGCGTTCCCTTCACGTCCACAAACGTGTTTTCTTTTGATGGAGTATCTTCACTTGGAGGTCTGAAGAGATTGGCAGTTCAGAGGACGAAGGCGTTGTAAGTGGTGGACACGGAGGTTTAGGAATCGCTCTCAAGCCAATCGTCGACGGCGGCCTTGTTTTTGAGGAATACGAGAACCATCAACGTCCAGAACAGAACGATCGGTGCATAAGGTCGAAAGTTTGGAGAAGAAAAGCCGCACGAAAGCGCCGCTCTTAGACCTTCTTATTCAAAATGCAGATGGGGAGGACGGAGACGAGGCCCAATCGTCACCACTCACCGCCCCGCTCATTCCTTCCGAGGGCCCCCCCTTCTCCTCCCGGCCCTCCTCCGCCGCCGGCTTCTCTCTCGGGGGGGAAGACGTCAAAGTCGGAATCACCCCCCCCGCCCGGCCCGCCGGCTCCGCTTCTTCGTCGGTAGCCCCCCCCAGCGCAAGCGGCGGCCCGAGAGACGTTTTAGACGACCCAGTGGAAGAGAAGGTCAACATCGCTTTGGGGGGGTTACCGCGGCCAGGGGGGTCGCAACGGGGGGTTAGTATGCACGGGAGCGAGGGGGGGGCGAGAGAGGGCTCCGTGAGGGGGGGCTTGCCGAGGGAAGGATCGCTGCGGGGGGGCTTGTTACGTGAGGGTTCCGTCAGAGACGGGTCGTTGGAAGGGTCCATACGAGATGGGTCCGTGAGGGACGGGTCCATACGAGATGGGTCGGGGAGCGGGAGCGACGTGCCGATCCTGCAGCGTATGCAGGCGTTCCGGGAGAAGCAGAAACCGGGGGGGCCGTCGCAGCAGCAAAACGCCCCCCCCCCCGACACGGCCGCGGCTGATCCTGCCGGGGCCGGCGTCCCCCCCTGGGGGAGGAACGGCGGCGCGTGCAGTCGGTTTCGGACCGGAACATCAGTCTGGCGACGCTCCAACAATACTTCGCGGGGAGTTTGAAAGACGCGGCGAAGGCGATCGGCGTGTGCCCGACGACGCTGAAGCGGATCTGCCGGCAGCACGGGATTAGCCGCTGGCCCAGTCGCAAAATCAACAAAGTCTCGCGCAGCATTCGGAAGCTCCAGGGGGTGATCGATTCCGTACAGGGGCCGTACAATTTCCACGCGTTCGGGGGGGCAGATTTGGCAGCGTTGGCGCAGGTGCCCGGAGCGATTCCGAGCATGATGCAGAGTTCTGCAAATGGGGGGTTGGGGCCGGGGCCTATGAGTGGGGGAATGGGACCCCCCCGCTCGACGGGATGGGGGCCGCCTCCCCCCGTGCACAGCGGATTGGGGCAGAACCATTTGCCAAGACAGAACAGTTTCGGGTCGACGGGAGGTACGTTGACATCTCGTTTCTTTCCTTGTTTGAAAATTCTCCAGTCTCAAAGCTTGGATATTTGCGTTTTCTTCTCCGTCTGCAAATTTGCCTTCCCTTGAGCGTGGCAGTGGGTTTGTTAGTGCAGCTTCGAAGTTGCTGCAACACGGAAAATACTGTAAGCTGTCGGTTGTCGGAGGCAGATGTGACAGGTGGTTCTGCTGAATGATTGCTGATGGCTGATTGATGGCCCGAAGTCTGGACTGACAATCGCATGGCTATGGCCACTCTATTTTGGCTTGCCTCTTTTTCTACGCAGTAAAAAGGCAAGTTGTTTTGCTGTATTTTCCGAACTGTACGACGTGGTGAGCGGCTACGCAAGTGACCAGTCGGTGAAATTTCTCTTTGTTTGCTGGCGTTCGACGATAAAACGTACAGTAGCCACCCAAAAACACTCATACCACGATGGGTTTTGCGTTTGGGCTGGCCCGCAGAGCGGCGCAGATGAGATGTATTGCGTCGAAGCCTGCCGCGCCGGCCGCACGATTAGTTCCGTAACGATGAAACGCTGTCAGTCTTGGACGGTTGCAATACTGTCACGTCGCTCGTATCAGCTTTGCGACAGTGCCCGGTAACGTACCTCGATAAGTAGCGCAGTGTCATGTTTCAATCAATCAATCAACGCGGAACCCCATAGCCGATGGCACGTGTCTTCCAGTATACCGCAGAATTTCCGAGAACATCGCCGCTAAAAATGTTACAAATTCACCGCCCGGAAACCCCCTTTAGAGGCAAGCCCTGGCGCCCCTCCGGGGCGATCCAACATGTGAAGAGTGCTTTCCTTGTCTATCCGGCTCTTCTTGATTTCCCATTTATTTCCGCACCGTAAAGGACTGGCTGGACTAGGGCAGTATTTCTAGCTTCGCACTCCAGCGCTCTCAGGTTTCATTGGCGGTAGCTGGGCGACATTCCCGTCGGGTCAGCAGACATGACCAGGAAATGCACGATATTGTCCCTCAGATGTAGACAACTTCGTGACGCCTTCTCTGCCGGCTTTGAGGTGGAGTGTAAGACATGGGCGGTACATGCAACAAAAGCAAAGCGTTATCTTGGCGTGTTCTTAACCACCAACCTCCGCCCAGCCAACTGCGATCCTTCTGTTTCGCCTTTCCAATCGTCAGTGGGGACTAACATTCTGAAGTTACCCCTACCATTTCCATTATTAGTCTAGTCCAGAAGCTGCTTACCTCATTTCACACAGCGGCACCGACGTTGTGGCGTTCAGGGGCACCTCGAGCCAAACCGGGCTTCTAGAGCTCTTTCTTTTCCTGACCTCTTCTTGAACCACTTCTGATACCAAGAGGTTCCTCGAGTCCAAGCCGGGCCTAATGGATTGCAGCAGCTCGATCCCTTTCTTGACTTCCTTTTTCTCTCAGTCTAACTCAACGTTTTCTTCTCTCTCCCATCTCCCAGGCAGCGGCAGCGGCGTCGTCGGATCCAAGCGCCACCTCGAGTCCGAGTCGGGCCTCTTGAAACGCAGCAGCTCGTTTGCGGGGACCCCTGCGTTGCATGTGCCGGGGCATGCGGCCGGGGACGAGGGAAGCGTGCATCGGGGCAGTCAGGGCAAGGCTGAAGCGCCCAAGGTAAGGCCTCCGAGATATACCCTTCGCTGACGTCAGCAATGCAATTTGTGAGATTGTACGTCGCAGTTGGACCCGTTTGCCTCGGTTGCTTTGGAAACGTGCACTGGGAACGCCGAGGCAAAGCGCCGAAGGTGAAGACTCTCGAACAATCCACCTTTCGTCTTTGCTGACGTCAGCGATGCTTAGTTGTGGGTTTTTTTTACTTTGCAATGGGTTCAGGGTTCGCTGTCTTTGATGTCTTTCTATGAGGACCTTCGCCAGTGCAGCCAGGCAAGGCCGATGCGGTCAACGTGACGTCATTCCTGTAGAGTCTGTCCCTTGCTGACGTCAGCAAAATTCATTTGTAAGTTCTTCGGTTGCCACTTGGATCCGTTGCTCGTAATCGCCTCTATTTTGTTGTTGTTCTCTTGGAAAAGTCATCAGGGCAATTAGGGCAGGGCGGAAGCAGCTATCAAGTGAGGCCTTGCAAATGTTCTGAATCTGGTTCGCGGCTCCAACCTAGGCTATTCCACACCAAACAGAGTAGGATTTGTTAAAAGTCATTCCAAATCAGGGTCTATCGTCCAACCGTCTTGTTTTCTCCAGGTTCGACTGCAGGCTCCTATTCTTATCCAACATGAGACCTCTTTGCGTCCTTTCCAAGTGCTGACCACAGAGACCCTATTGCCAACAGAAGAGCAGTCCGGAAACTTTTTTCATGAAATAATTTGGAGGCTGAATCCCATTGTTTCGGAAGCTGAAACAGAATCTTTCCTCGTCTTCTGCAGCCGTTCGAACCACGTGGCCCCGCCCCCGGAAGTCCCCCCTCGGGCCCCGTTGAGACTATGGTCACGACTTTCGCACCCCAGCAACATTTCCAACCAATGCACCGATGGGGCCCCGGGCCGTCCCTCGTCTCCCAACCCCAATACCACTCCATGAGCAACCTGGAATCAGCGGGGATGCGCCGGGAATGGCAGCCGCCGCCGCCGCAAATGGGCATTTTCCAGCACCAGGGAGGGGACATGTACATGCAGCAAGTGGGGGGGTGGATCCCCGCGCCTTTCCCGGGGGGGTTCGTCGGGCCGTACGCGCCGAGTCGGGCCCCAGTCGTGGAGGACCGAGTGCGACGGGCGGGGGGCGGCTCTGGCTGCGCTGCGGGGGGGGCGGCGTGCAGTTCCACGAGGGGGGGCTGAAACAGCTGAAGGAGAACCCCCGGGTTCAGGAGGAGGCGACGGTTCACAGCGGGGCGAAGCGCGTCCATAAGATCAGCAGCGAAAACGTGCACCTATATGCGAGCCAGATCGGGAAGGGATCCCCCCAAGGGGGGGGGAGTGGGAAGGAGTCCGGCGGGGGGGGGAGCAAACCGCAGGCGAGCAAGGGGGGGTCTGGGAGCCAGGCGGTGGAACGGGGAGGGGTGTCGGGAAGTCAGCAGAGCGGCAAGAGGAAGGAAATGGAGACGGGGCTTACGGTTAAGGCGACTCTGGGACAGGTGGGTTAGCAGACGTTTTGCACTTTCGAGTAGGGCGTGATTACCGTTGCATTCACTTGCTATTTTTGAATGTTTGTGTCTAGGAGGTCTTGTACTTCCCTATTGGGTTGTCGTGTACCTCAGTAAAAGCCCTTGTCCACCCCCCCCGCTAACCTCGAGGGTTTATGCAGCAAAGAGCAGTATGGCAGCACCCTGAGCAACTATGCAGGTCTAACACCGAGTTCACACTTTGTTGCCCTTCGCAAAAGTTCCCATCTAGTCCGGAAGGGTGTCGAGGGACATTTGTTGCTGCGGGACACTGGGCGTTTCAAGTCAAAACTCTCAAACGGTTCAGACGTCATTCTTCACTGTGAAAGCGGAAAGAAAGAAAGTTGACGCTCTCGTAAAACCGAAATGAACCAGCTTTGGCGCTTTCCTCAGATTGGAGTGCGCAGACGTCGTTCAAAGATGGGCCAAAAGACGCTCTCAGTACCCCGGACTTAACCACATCCGGCCGTTTCACTACAGGACACTGCCCGGTTCAAGTCGAACCCCGAAATGGGTTGGGCGGACGACGTCGTTGCTGAAGTGAAAAGCGAGGCTTTTGTAACCCGGTGATAACTGGCTTTTGGCACTTTGCTGCAGGACACCGCGCGATGCGAAGTAGATTCCAAGCGATTTGGACGGACGTCATGGCTGAGCCGGTCAAGCCCTATTAACCCGGACTTGACCACCTTCTGTTTCTTCGCTACAGGACATTGCCCGGTTCAAGTTAAACCCCGAAATGGTTGTCGGACGCGGTTCCAAAGATGGTTAAAATACGCTCTATGAACCCGGACTTAACCACATCCGGCCGTTTCGCTGCAGCACACTGCCCGGTTCAAGTTAAACCCCGAAATGGTTGTCGGACGTGGTTCCAAAGATGGTTAAAAGACGCTCTCATTAACTCGGACTTAACCACATCCGGCCACTTTGCTGCAGGACACTGCCCGGTTCAAGTTAAACCCCGATATGGGTTGGGCGGACGTCGTTGCGGAAGTGGCGAAGCGGCTGAATGTGGAGCCTACATCGGTCAAGCTCAAGTATCTGGACGATGAACAAGAGTGGATGCTTCTCTCCACCGACCAGGTAAAGCTTTTGTTGCGGGGTTTCCTCTTGTTTTCTCGTGCTCCAAGGGCAATGCAAGACGCATCACGGGTGTTTCGCATAAATCTCTGCTCAACTTGCAATAGGAACGAAGGTACTACTAAAGAGCTTGGACTCAAACCCGTACCAGATCCACCCGCCCCAGTAACTCGAGCTCCTTATGACCATTTTAGAGACCGATGTTTTGTGATTCCTCTTGTCTGCCGGAAGGCATAAATACTGTCGAAGCTTTGAAGTTTTTCAAGTCCCTGGTCAGCTCTATAGATTCTTTCCTGAATTATACAAAGCAACTTCCTCGTACGCTCGTTTTTGTTTGGCAGATGTCGAACTATAAAAGCCTGACAGAAGGGCCAAACAAATGGTGCTCGACTGAGCCCCAAATGGGACTCCAGATTCCTCTTGGCTTTGAGAGTCAATGCTATGAGTGCAGCGCAAACGTACGAGGTGTCCGAAAGTGTTTTGGGTTGCACGGATTTGAGCAGTGTGTTGAGCAGATGCTTCATAAGTTGTCAGTGTTCTGCATAATGTGAATCACATCGTCAAGTGACACAGCCTGTAAGGGTACTAAAGGACTTGACCCATCGCCCGAGCACACTCCCAAACTTCCACCGTTAAGCGCACGGCAAGCCCAACTACTGCAACGTTTGCAGCGATATGAGCCGAAAGGTGTATTCTCCCGAGTGCGGTCCAGATTCCGGTGTTCTCACGATCGCATCTGTGGAGAAAGGTCTGATCGAACCTGGAGTTTGCGAGAGATTCATGTGCCGTGGAACAAGCAAAGGCTGGGTCGATAATATTTGTATCTTGCAACTCTATCCGCAGGATCTCGCCGAGTGCATCGACATTGTGAGGTCGACGGGGGGGTCGATCATCAAGCTGATGGTGAGACGCGAAGAGTTTGGGCGCCAAAGCAATAGCCATCCTCTGGGAGCCGCAGGAAGTGACGTCAGCATCGGAGGGGCAAGATAACTTCCTTAGTGCGACTTCATATTAGAAAGACATATCCCTTCTAGAAGTCGGACTTATTAGGGGCATGGTACCTATCAGCGTGGTTGCAATCAATTTGATGCACTTTGGATAATGGTAACAGTCTCATTGACGCAGAACGAGCGGTCTATCAGAGGAAGCTTTATGCACATTGTCTGGACAGGCTAGGTGCAGACTCTCTATGTTGCCTACAAATGCCTAGCTATCTCCCGATATCAACGTCGCCTTTGCAACACCTTTTGTATTGTACATATGTAAAGTAACATAAGCCTCTTCTTAGCGTATCTTTAGCTAGGATACGAAGCACTGACAATTGTGAAGGTCGACATCAATATAAAGGTTCTAAACACTGGGGTGCCGCTCCAATCAAGCACATATTTTGAGGTCCCTTCGGTACTCGACGGCCGCCACTTCACGGGGCTTCTGCAATTATGTAGGCTTAATTGACCACCAAATAAAGCAGGCTATGGAAGTCAGTATACCGGATGCCACTGAGCTAGCGATGGTGACAGTTGCCAGAGGCCAAATTAAATACATGCCAACAACCCGGGCATGACGCGGTACGTCCTGCAGTGCGATCTCGGGGTGGCCTGGATGCATATGCATGTGCTTATGAGAATAGTTGCAAGTTAGTGTGCCATTCCGTTTTACTACAGTATACATTGAATGGCGTGTTGAGACGGTACACATCAAATGTTATGATTCTAGCTAGATTTATGCATTCAATGTGGATCGCTTGTTGGAGCAAGGAAAGACGAATCAGTAGGTTTATCTCCGGCTCATATGCATGCATGGTCGCGGAGGTCACCAGCCTGCAGCCGCCGCGGGCAAACATATGGCTTGTATGTACGTATATACGCCAGGCTTAATTTTGAGGCCCGGCTCGGTACACCACGGCGGTCCCTCAATTCCATTATTGCTTGGAGGATACCACCCAAAGGGCGGTAATGATCCTCCTCCGACCTCGTAGTTGTATACTCGGATTTTTCGGCTTTCCGGCCAACGTTTGAGACTATAGCTAGCACATAAGTGCAAGACTGAACCGAAATCCAGCTAACAATAAGCCGCAGCTCCTGACTGGAAATGTTGCAACGGAAGTTGCACTCACTGTCGCGAGAGAGAAAGCCGGACCTTATTTGATTGTAAAGAATAACTTATAAGCCTACCTCTATGAAGCCGTACACAACAAGTTGACTTCTCACTCCCTTATGTGCTTCGAACCTACTCATCGTAAATCTCGCATTGCCTCCTGAGTTACGTCTAACAATGTCACTGGAATCATCCCTAGTAGATGCGACTAGCCTCACTCACTGTATCCAAAATATGCAAAAAGGCGTAAGCAAGATCCTCACTAGCCCACACACACTCGGGGAAGCGTTTTTAACCTCTCTAACCTGCGCGCCCAGACTCTCTGACACAACTCTCACGCACAAGACTCGCTATAAATAATTAAGAGCCGCTCGGTGTCGGCGCGGGCGTTGGGGCACCGGACGAAGCGGCACTCGGGGGCACACCGACGGGGGGAGGGGGTGCATTGACACCACTGGCCGGGCTAGCAGGAGATTGCGCACCCAAGGGTGCCATGGCGTTAAAGTTGGCGTCCACGGGGCCGTAAACCCAGATACCCTTGATGGCCGGCGCATCCCGACCGGCCGCGACCGCCTCGTACTGAATACTGAGCTCGTTGGAGCTGCATTGCACGCCCTGTAAAGAAACGTGCACGCTTCAGAGTAACGTTTTATGAGTGGCAATCTTCCCGACTGGTTGGGTGACAATCTGTGGCAGACTTTCGCCGTCATCTTAATGTGCTCTCGGAACACCCAAACTGCTGACTCGTGTGTTTGGACCGAGTGCCGTTCAAGAATTGTTCAAAGCATACTGATTTATGCGGTAGGAATCCGTCCTTTTCGCTTCTTGGGTTAAGGATTCACTTTTCGGATTGAAAGAACGCAACGTGGAGTGCAAAGTTACGGAGCGCTAAAGTGGCAGGAGAAGGCAAGTCCGGGAAGCAAGCAACAAAGAGAGCAACACATCATCATCGTTTTCTCAGGAAAAGGGGTCCTCGATCTCCGCTCCGATACCCCAATCGTCGACTCCGATCCTTTCCAAATCCCAAACTCACACCCCAACTCTACGACAAAAACCCACACAGATTCGCCTCACATCCCCAATCCTTGAGAGCGTTTTTGACATTCTCTCTCCCAAGCGCTCATTCGATCAAGAGTTCGAACGGAATCCCAATGTCGAGTGCCGGCGCACAAGAAGGCCTCTTCGGAAGCAGCGAGAGTCTTGAGAAAACTCACCCGTCCAATCGCCGGCGCAGCATAAAACTTCCGGTCACCCCCCAGGACGAAGGGATCGATCGGGCCGATCGCGTCCGCGTTGTTGCCGTTGAAATGGATGTAGAAGATTCGCAGCGCGGGCCGGTTCACGTTGATGATCGGGTCGTCCCCGGAGACCTCGGCGAAGTAGGAGTACACCTGGTAAACACCGGGGCTCGGCAGCCGGAACCTGCACGGTGTGAATAGTTTCAGTTTGTGAATAGGACAAAACTTGAAGGTCTTCTCTGTAAAACAGCATTTGGAAGTTAGTGGAACTCAGCGGGCCAGAGCTGCCAAGTGCGGTAAACTGTGTGGCATTTCAATCCGTTATGATCCAATCAAACCTTCCGAATTTTGTACGGCATTTGAATCCCGTTATGATCCAAATCAAAACTTCCAAACAATCAACTCGAATGGGGAGTCTGGGCGGATGCACCTACACGGGCGACTCTCTCACTGGAGCCTTGACTACGATGGTCGCCCTACTAAAATCCTTAAAAGATCACACGGTGACGAGACATGGTCGACCAGCGAGTCGGTTTGCTTAATGGCGCGTCGCCGAAACCACGTCCTCTCTAGCATTTCGAAGTTTGGAGACAGAAACGGTTTCTAGCATCTGTTCTAAAGCCCTAAGAAGCGTCGCAATTTCACGAGCACGAGAGATATATTTTAATGATTTGTCAGATTGTTTTTTCCTGCTCAAGTGCAGCTGGGAGTATAGGGCTTTTCTTTACGAAGGCAAAAGGAGCTCGAAATCTCCTGACAAAACATGGAGAAGAAGGGATTGCGCAATACCTTACTTACATGCGATGCGGGTTGAGCACTTTTCAGTTTGTATGTTTTGCAATTTGGGCAATACGTTTGGGGATCTGGGATTGGTGGTGATCTGAAAACATGCAGACAAAGGCTTATTTCATCACTTTAATGTACCTGCATCGGCCCTCTTATATCGGATTGCCAATCGTTTGACGAGTTGGGCAAACTGACATTCACACTATCCGTAGCGTTTACATCTTTCGGGCAGAATCGAACGAGAACAATCAATGCCCAAACGGCATGTTGCTGCGGTAGCACAGTCGCTCACTTGTACGTGTTGTATCCGATGAACTCGCTCTGGAAAATGGTCGGGTCGGACGTGTTGAAAATGCCCTCGCCCGTTGAGAATTGGTAACCGCCCTCAGGTCCCTTGATGTTGGTTCTGCGCGAACGGTGTAACCATTCGGTTAGTGTTTACGTTTTGGGTCACGCGAGCGGTGTAACGATCTGGTTAGTGTTTACGTTTTGGGTCACGCGAGCGGTGAAACAATATGGTTAGTGTTTACGTTTTGGGTCACGCAGGCGGTGCAACGATTTGCTTAGTGTTTACGTTTTGGGTCAAGCAGACGAGTCCTTAGCGGCCTTTCTTGAAGCCCTTTCTTGAATCCGATAGAACATAAAAAGTTGGCGGGATGCTGATTTCGGCGCCTCCAAAGATGACTCACTGTAACGAGTGTTTGAGTCGGACGCCTCCAAAGAGGATTCACTAAGATGGGTTTAACTCGGACCAAAAGTGAGTCAATCTGAAGGCAACGCATAGAAGGGTTGAGGTTGTTCTAAGACCAGATCAATAGAAATGACATTGTTGGAGTCCCGGAAATGTCCTATGAGGATTCCGACGACCAGAACTTTGAGGGTACAAATGCAGAGGAAGCTCTACCAATAAAGGTGAGGGGGAGAACTGGGACCAAGACAAGGTCGTGGAACCGACCAGAATCACTCACAAACAGGAACGAAGCATGTACGCGAAAGCACAAAAGCGCACCGACTCCCGGGCGCTCACCTGCACCACCGGACGCCTTGCGGGATGACGTCACCCTGACCGCAGCGCGTCGAGTTGTTGGAGTCGTCCTCGAAAACGATCCCGCACGACGACACGTAGCGGGGGCCGGCGGCATTTACGGCGACGTTGAGACCGAAGGGGGGGGTCCATAGAGGGCAGGGGCCGGTGCAATTGATCGCCTGAAGAGAGGAAAAGGGACAGAGACGAGTGTCAAAGAAAAACTCGGCTTATGCACAAAGTTTTCGGGCACGAGGTTATAAAAATCACGGCGCAATCCTTGCATGAGCCAGCCTCACAATTGTTCTCGAGCAAGCCCAGAGAGAGTTTGTAACTAGATTTCGTCCAAACCTTCATAGCCACCCAGAAAGATGTTTCCAAAGGATTTGACCAGCATTTCCGTAAGCGGACCCAGATCTCGATGTGTCACCCAGAAAGATGTTTCCAAAGGATTTGACCAGAATTTCCGTAAGCGGACCCATCGAAACACATCGAACTGACACCCACCTGCGGCGGCGCCCCATTGGCAGGGCAGCTCGGGTTTGCGCTCGCCGCGCCCCCAAAGGTCGGAACCGGGGGAACCGGTCCCAGAGGGAGATCCGCCGGGGTATTCACATAAGCGAAGTACGGGTCGGGCGCGCCCGGCGGTGGGGGGGGTCCGATCGGCCGGGGGGCTTGCGCGACGACCGTTCTTGCGGGTGCGGGGGCCGGGGGTATCCCTGGCTCGACGTAGAGGGCGCTCACGAAGGGGGGGTAAAGAGCGTTGGCGTAATTGGTCCCGTTTAAAACGTAGTTTTGGGGGGAGACGTTGGGGAGCGAGAGCGCGTCGGGGCTGGTCTGGAAGCGAATTGAGAGGAAGCGGGAGCTGGTGACGTTGGCGGGGAACTGCGGGGCGGAAAAGGTGACGTCAGCGTAGGCCGCGATTCAGGAAGGTGAATCGGAGCGCCAAGATGAGTTCGAAAGAGGTTCACATACCCCTCATGGCCCTCCAATGGCAGAGACTTGCAACCTTGTTGGTAGAAAGCAATACGTCCACGAATCCCGACGACTATCCTTAGAAGGCAATGTCGCGAGAGAATATGGGCACCAATCAAATGCGGGCTTCGATCCTATGACGTTACTTCAAAGCGAGAGCCCGAGCAAGAGCCCTCGAGTAAAGCACGCACCGAACTTTGACGTACTACTCATTTCCACTCGCCACAGGAAACGTGATCGACAATACATGTGCAGTATCTTGCACTCGCCACGGGATATGGCTTTGGACAGTACCTGTCTGATGTATGCGGTGATGGCGCCGCCCGTCCTGGCATACACGTCTAGTTGCGAGAGCACCTTCACCTCCTGAATGTACACGTCAAAGATGCGCTGACCGGGCCCTGCAAGCGACAGATGCTAAGTCAGGAACAGATTCTTACATTCTAAGCAATCCTTGTTCTTGAAATAGGAAGCATTGAGCCCAACAGAAACGCCCCTTCGTCGAGAAACGCCCCTTCGTTGGAAACAGAAAGCGTCAAAGGCACGAACACTATCCAGATATTAAACTTGACTTTCAACTAAGATCATGGCATCAAGAGGCTCCTTAGCAGAGCTCGTGTTCCAACCAGATTCGCGAATGAAGTGGCAAAAGGCTTTTGTAAGCCTTTTGTAAGCCTCGAGGCGGTTGTTTCGCTCCGATTCCTCGGCGTGTAGTTCGTAACAGTTTCATGGAGTACGTGCAAGCCTTCCAGTCGCCGAAGCTTTGACAAGCACAAGGTCTAATTGGAAATCCCCCACGACGTGTAGAATGATAATTGACGTTTGCGTTCAGGTCGGCACGATAGAGCGTGACCAAATAGGTCCCGTTGGGCGACAATAAAATTCAGGTGAAGACAATAGAATATTTTGTACTTGGCAGTCAAAAAGAGACGAGCAAACGCTCACCAGTCGCGTTAAGGTCGGCAAAGTAGAGCGTGACCAAATAGGTCCCATTGGGCAGCGAGAAGTTGTAGGTGAAGTTGCCCTGGCGCACGGTGGGGTACAGGAAATCGTCGACAGCATCGTTGTACGGCAAAAACACCTGGTACGGGTTGCTCTGGACCGAGTAGCTTGCTGCGAAACGTGAAAGAAGGAAACCGTCAGATCTTGTAGGTTTCCTTCCGTTCATGTCATGCGGCCAACGATGCATCCGAAGAGCAGAAAAGCTGGCACCTGAGCTGGTTGGCGCAACATTTGCCTTGCACAGAAGGTGCTGTCTACCAAGCTTCAGTCGTGCTGTCTACCAAGCTTCAGTCAGCATAACGGAGATTCCTAATCAGCGGATACGTGTTTCCCGATTCGATGAGGTCAACTCTGGATACATTGGTTGATCGCATCAGCAGCTATCTCAAAAGGAAAACATTAGGATTCACCTGATGTGCAACATCGAAATTGGCCGAAGGAAGCGTAATCGACCAGTGTTCAGGAATCACTGTTTGGCTCTCCACTAGTGCTAGAATGTGCCCTCTCTCAGAAGAGAAAGACAACTCCTGCTCCTCTCACAACACCGGCAAAAAAACGAAACAAGTTGCACGAGCAATGGACAACCCACCAGCGGAAAAGTTGGTATCCGCTTGGAAGATGACGCCATTCCCGGACAGCACGTCGATTGGCGACCCGCAGTCGATCGCGAGCGTGCCGTTCGTGTTCGCATTGAGCGGTGTCACTTTGATCGCGGAAACGGTCGCGTTCCCGCCGTTGGTTCCGTTGAAGTCGATCCGGAGCAGCCCGTTGGCCACGGCGGCCGCGGTTGTGAGGTTGAACGAGGTTGGGGTGTAAAGGTATGAGGCGGGGCCGGGGGCGGGAGCGGGCGCGGGGGAAAGCGCGTAGGTCGAGTTGCCAATAATATCAATCGTCGAGAAAGCTTGCACGCCCTGTAACAAATGGAAATCGAGTTTAGGATGGGGGTTAAGACTTCGGTCAAAGGCGGGAGAAAGCGCGTAGGTTGAGTTTCCGATGATGTCGATCGTCGGGAAAGCTTGCACGCCCTATAAAGAATTGGGAAAGGATAAAGGGTTAGCCAACGATAGGGATTACGGGTTTGGTCTAAGTGGGCGATAGATAGGGCCACCAATGGGGTTTCAAAACTGGTTAAGGGCGGGGGAAAGGGCGTAAGTCGAGTTCGCGATGGTGACGATCGTCGGGAAAGCCTGGACACCCTGAAGCGGATGATGGTTCAAATCAGGATGGGGGTCCAGGGTTTTGGTTTGAGGGCGAGGAAAGGGGCAGCGGACAGGTTTGCAATGATGTCGATTACTGAAAAAGCTTGAGGACACTTTGAAACAATTGGAGATGGGAGTAAACGGTTAACCAAGGATGGGGGTGAACAACTTGACCGACAGCGGAGGAAGGATTTTGCAAGAAGGTCAGTCACCGGGAAAGCTTGCATGCCCTGTGAGTACGGGAGATGAGAGTACGAGACTTGACATCACTCACCCAAAGGAGCGTTTGCAGACAAAACTGTTGCCGGGGAACACGGCAATAGTATTGGGAAGAAAGTGGACTTAACCATAGGCCCACACTTAATTCCGTAATGCCGGGCCTATGGTTAAGTGTGCACGTTTTGCTAGCACCAAAGAGAACGTCCGTTGAACGAGACGAGCGAGAAAACAGAAGAGACTCGCCTCCGAGTCTTGCTCAAACCGACCTGGTCATACCAAAGAGAAGGCTCGTCGAACTAGGACGAGCAAAAAAAGGGAAGACTCTCCCCTCCAGTTTCTTGCTCAAAAGGACCTGTTCTCACCGAACACAAGATTCACCGAACTAGAAAGTGAGACGAGAAGAGTCCTGCCCAAAAGGCCCGTTCACACCCACCTGGATCTCGACCGTGAACAGCCGCTGGCCGGGCTGTGTGAACTGGCCCTCGACGAACGCGAGCTCCACCCGGTAATGGCCAACCGGAAGGTTGAAGTAGTACGAGAAGCTGCGGCCGACGCGAGCGGTGGAGTAAACGATTGCGTCGGTGGTTTGCGCCACAGAGAGGGGGGAGGGGGCGCCGACGGACGTGAAGGCGACGGCGGCTGTTTGAGAAAGGTGAGTCTGTGAGAATTTAAATTGAGATGATTGTGTTGGATGGAGGTACATCGTAAGGACGGACTTCGACAAGAACGAAAAGAAACGAGAGGAAACAAAAAGTGTAGACGTAAAGGAAAGACAGAATCGAAGAGGACAGAAAGGAGCCGCTGCTAGCCTTGAGCTCTGACACTTCACTGTGTTTTGCAGTTGTGGCTTGCAGATGATTGAACTGATCTGAGCATGGAGAATTGTGTCAACGGAAAGGAGACGATGGGAGGGGAGGTAACCTAGTTTGTGGGTAGAAAGAGAACGAAGTCAAAGAAAAGGGACGACGGTGCTGGATCATAATCGACGCGCTTGCAGACGTTACATCACAGATATGTTCGGATTGAGACCTCCGGTTGGAACCTTTGCTTTCCAGTATGACGTGACACCCTTAGCTTGGTTTTTGCAAGATAGGTTACACGCACTTCATGCTATCCCTCTTATGGAAGTAAGAAGTAAAGGGTGGAACAATTGACAGTAGCGTTACCTACTCAAGTCAAGTTACACTACAATTTATTTGGGAATCTTCAGGGCAAAAATGCCGACACTAGCAAGACCTACTTAAAATTAGGTTAGACTAACTTCGTCTGAGAAGTATGAGTCCCTGGTGTGGTTAACGCCGTCAGAAAAGACATGGAACCGCTCGCTCCGGCGTCAAAAGCTGGAACGATTGACTCTAGCAATACCTGCTGAAGGGTCGGGTTACACTAACCTCCATTCGAGAAGTAAGAGTCCCTCGTGTAGTTGACACCGTCGGGGGAAACGCGGGAAGCGCTCGCTCCGGCGTCAACGAAGTAGGAGCTCGGGGGGGCCGGGAAGGGCACGTTAGTGCTCGAGTCCGTGTAAACCCGGATGGCGTTAACCTTGGCCTCTCCGTCGCCTACGTTTGAGGAGACGGTCTCGAAAAGAATGCTGCAAAGAGGAAGACAGGTGTCGGGAGCGATTCTCGAAGGGGAAATGACTTCTAAGAAAAGGTTTTTGCAGACGTAAGGCAGTCAAGGGCGTTTTTTCCTGAGAGATTCTGTCGCGGTCTCCAAACGAGACATGTTCTGGTCATAGATGCTGTATTATAATCCAGGCAAGCTTCATGTTGGTGCGTATAGACTACGCACGGTTCGAAGTTTGCCCGCAGGGCGTGTCATTGGCAAAAGTTTCCCAAGACTCATCACATCCTGAGATTTCGATGAACTTTCGATTGGTTGGTTAACAAGTTTGAACTCGCTTGGGAATCAAGAAATTGTGTTCAACACTCTGCTTCCCTCACTTTCGCAATTTCCACCGAGTTCCTTCGCCGGTTTGTAAAGCGTGGTGGACACGAGAGAACGTTGCCAGGAATCAACGGAAGTGGCGCACGCTCACCTGAGGAGGCCGTTTGACACCGTCGCCTGCCTTGTCACGATGGTGCTGGTGTTGGCGCCCACGGTCGCGAAAATGTCGAGGTTTGGCACCGACTTCACGCCCTGGATTGTGACGCTGAAAACGCGCGCGCCGACCTGGTTGAATTGCGTCTCGGCAAAGTGGAGGTCGACGTTGTAGACGCCGTTCGGCAAGTCCAGTTCGTAACTGCAAACCGCAAGACACTGGTTGAGAAGAGGAAGTGGCCACGAAAGGTGTTATAAGGGAAGAGGTCCTAAGAGCGTCGGTTTTGAGAGCCTCTCTTACGCAAGCTTGCAAGTCCATCTATCTTTCTGCAATCTTAACCTTTAACGAGGAACACTCCTAGTTGTGACCCTTCGATGGCGTTATGCGCTGACAGTTTGCGTGGGGCTTCAGGAGCAATCCCATGTCAACATGTCGTCACCAAATACGGAGTGGCAACTCCTCAGAGTCTCGACAGTCTGATCTAGGTACCGCAGGAAAGAGTACTGAATGAAAGAAAGTAACGGCGCTCCAGATCATCAAAGAAAACAGGCCAGCCTAAGTTTATTGCTAACTTTATCCTTATTGCTTACCGCGGAATCTCTCAAAAATTGGGCGAGCGGAATACATCTTTGAAAGTGAAGGCGTATGAGCGGTGAGTGCAATGATTCACGCCGCCAAGTGCCACCCATAAGCCCTCACCGTGGGCAGTATAAGACCGTGGAGCTCGACAATTCACAGTCCAAGTCCCAAATGCTCAACTTTGCACACAAGCAATCTCGGACAAGACCAGCAAGATACTCAAAGCGCCGAGCAAGCAACCCGAACACCTTGCAGGTTTGCAGTTTTCTGAGTGCAAGGCAGGAACTGTTTTAGGCAGGATTGGCTTTCGAAAAGGCAAAAATGTAATATTCTTATGCCAGGTGTGAAAGGCGAGCTCTTTCAAACTGCATCATCAGTAGTGCGGTGTGCCAGTGGCCCACCGCCCCGTGTATACAAATGCTGACATCAAACGCACCTTCAGTTGAAAAGTCTTACTTTCACTTGCATTTGTAAGACTTTCACAGGAAGGACTTGACGATATTCTGGTGGAAATGCCTTGCTTTGTTGTTCTTTGAAAGGCTTTGACGTTGAGGATAGTACAATTACTGGCAGCAGGAGAACAACACATGGAGGTCCTTCTTTGCCCCACTGCGTCCAAAGTTTGTTCACAGAGCTCATTACACTTGGAGTCAGGAAAAGCACACGGGAATTGGAATGAAATGTCATGGCAGTCCTCCAATTGCATCAAAATTTTTACTGAGAGCTACAACATGAACGTTTGCCATATTGATCGTTTGCTCGCTCCAAAGAGCTAGGATGTCTAACCAGGGGATTCCACCAACCCAGATCTCATATTAGATCCCAGAAGATCTCACGTGACGTCATCAACATTCCAGAAATTTCCATCTGGCGACAGGTGGCGCCATGAGGAGATCGGGCCAGGGCACTGCCCAACGATGCCAACTTTCCCACAAACCTACAAGGCCTCGAGATATTAGAAACTACCACCACGACGGAAAATCACGTGGTAGCCAGAAAGAAGCGTACTTTTCTACAAAAGGATCGAGTAGCCAGAGAAACAAGACTGCTGGGAAAAAATGCCACAAGCACTCAGATCTGCCAAGTAGAAAAGAAGAGGAGAAGCACTCACTTGAAACATACGCTGATTGGACAAACCACACACTCGAGTATCGAGGAGAATGACAGAAAAGCAAGGAGAGAAAATTACGTGAAGCTGAGGCCATATCTCTCAGTCAGGTACAGAGCCCCATCTGCCCCGCTTAATGGGGCAAAGCCCAGGTACTGCCTCGGCTTGGTGCTCGTCCCATAATAGTACCTATCCGTCAGGAACACAATGTCGCCCTTTCCTGCGGGCGCCGTCGAGACGTAGCTGTTGTTTGGCTGGTAGAAGCTCCCGTTCCCGAATCCGTAGTTCACCCCCCCGTAGTACTGAGGGATCGAGGCGTTTGGAGGAGTGAGCCCTCCGCAGTTGATCGCGATGTAAGAAGGGGGTCCGGTGACAGCTGGCGCCGGCGCCGGCGTTGACTTTATGGGAGCTGGCGCGGGAGCAAACCCGCCGTTGACAGCTGGCGCGCCGACGGGCTGGCTCTGAGCGGTGCCCAGAAGCAATAAAGCAGAGAAAACAACACACACCACCAGCTGGGAGCCCCCCATTGCGCACGCCTGCGCCCCACCACTGACACCAGATGTCCTCTCCGGTCTAGATCTGGAGCGCCCGCAAACTTGTGTGCGCGAGGGAGGGTGAATGTAGAGCTTAGCTCGGGGCCGAGAAGATGGCGCCAGACCTGGCGAGGCGCTCCTCCAATTTTGGCCACTCTCGCTTCCGCTCTCTTTTACGTAACCGTTCTCACAGCTCGCAATTGCAGATCTGGTGTCGGAATGCTGTGCAGCTTTGGATAAAATGGGACTACAGAGATTCTTCTTCCTCACAGAGTCACCCTGTGCCATGCACAGCAAATGTCCTGTCGGAGTTACCAATCTGAGAGTACCAATCTGTACACAAGAGACGGTACATACCAGCTTGATCTGCGATTGGCACCCGATCACCTTTGCTCAGCTGGCCTCTGCCATTCTTGGCTCTCCCGGGTGATATGGTCGGTCTCAACATACTTTCCGCAGTATCATACCGGGGCTCGTGCGGTAGCCGTTGGGTGGTGTCCGTTGAGTCAAGACTTGACCAGCTCTGACTTGGCTTTGTCCGTAAAATCAGGGATGGCGGACTGCATGCAAGGCATGCCCGTCCTTTTCGGATACGGTGCGCTGACCTAAGGCTACGGTTATGCCGGACCGACCCCCGGGCTCCCGGGGGCGACGAGCCTTGGGTACGCCGGTCTGTATAACGGGTGTCCTTTTTTATAACCAGATTCTGCATAGAGGACTTTCCGACATGAAACTCAAGAAAAATAAATAGTATTAGCCGAGATAATAGTAAGGTAACCGCACTGAGACGGGTAGGGTTAGCATGGTGGTTTACCGTTAGGGTGGATACGGCGGTGTTTTATTTAAGGTTAGGGTTTTAGTGTTAGTCGGAGCTTACTATTATCTTGGCTTTCAAGTTACTATTATCTTTCTTGAGAATTATCTTTCCGACCGGTACATCTGTTCCGACCTTTTTTAAACCTTTTAAAACGGGGGGGCTGCCGTCCCCCGAGCCCCCCCGCTTTCCGCTCTTTGGGCTTTGTTTCATTGCACGTGAGTGATCGATATTAAACTACCGTCCAATTAGTACTGGTCCAGACTCCAGACTCCACCCGGCCCGTCTACCGTCCAACGCCCGCCGGGCTGTCACCCGGGCCCCGGCAGCTTGATTTGACAGGTGAGAGAATAAGCACCGTCGATTCCGCCACATCTACGACTTCGTGGAAGCTGACTGGTCACTGTATCACCTTCTGACACGTGTCAGGGCAAATCTGGCTGCTGCGACGCTGCTTTTAGCCTTTGATTCAATCAAATGCAAATGGGGGAATCCGGGGGCTCTACCTTGCAGGCACCATACACCACATTGGCTTACTGCTATGAAGCAAAGCAGACCAAAGAATCTTTTTGACCTTCTGCTGTGGGTATCACTCCAGCTACTTGGTGTGTCGGTTCTCAGTGTCGGTGCTAGACCACTCAAGTTTCAACTACCGTACTCTCGCAGTTGGAGCAATTTAGTTTGAAGTTGTTTTTCATTCAATCAACGGGCCGAATACACGCATGAATGACCATCTACGTGCATAAACTACACGTTGACAATGAGAGTCACCTGACTCAGTGATTATTATAGCCTTTGAGATCCTTGTCACATTGTCAGTCGAGTATAACTCACGAATTAAAGAAGGCTTCAAGGCGGGGGCAAGGCGGCTAACGCTACAAAGTGCGAATTAGTGTCGACTTGCGTGATTGTCATTGTTGCCTCAAGCATTCAGTCATTTTACCCCGGTCTCACGGGAGCGTTGCCCAAATGGTAGCGTGGCTCAGGGTTTGTAACAGCAAGATGGTGACCATTCCGGTGATCGACCTGGTGCAAGCCTAGGGGAACCTAGGATTACAGATCTGCCAAGCCGGGACCACCACGTATTGTGACTCAGCATCAATGCTGCAATCTAGTAACGCCGGATGGGACACCCCTTAACATATAACCGTTCCTTACTAAGACAGCTTTCTGGGTCTATCACTCGCATGCATAGAGTCAATGATGGGCGACCCTGCAATTGGTCTATACACATTCATTTGTTTGATGGTCACATCACTTGTTGTCAACTTCCGACATGTTTCAACTCGTGTGCATGCTTGATCGTTACAAGTTCAACCATGCCAATCATTGGCGACTGTAATGATACTAAGCTCTTGCAAAGATGTGACTTCCTTTCTGGTCGACGTTTCAATTGAAGTACGTGCAGCTGCGATTTAGTAAACATTTGAAGGATTGAGCTTGTCTCTACGAACCGCGGTGATGACTCATTTAAGTGCCAGGCGCATTCAGAGATTGATTGCACGAAAGCAAGGTTTATTAGCCGGCCTGGAATTCACTTGTCCATGCAGCTCAGTACCGCCCGCGCAGATTTTCAAAGGCTCTAAACTATGAGAACCCGAGTCTTCTGCTTGATTGGAAGGTGTCATAAAAGACATGCAAATCGGTGACCATAAGCCCTATACCTACGACCAGTCAACACCTTTATCGACGTCAACACCGTTTTGCGTGAAATCGATCCAGCGGTGTCCACCAATGCGAAAGTTCAATCCTAGACCTGTTCAATAACTTCATCCGACACCAGTGTGCTTGCAACAATCATAAATTAGCTCTGTGCAAACGGATTTTCTCGCCACAACTTGTGCACCTGCAATGTACCACTTGCGTGTTCTCAATTTTGCTATTTATGCCGATGTGGGAGCGGCAGCTGTTTTTGCCGCGGTTGGAGCCGACGCAGCCGTTGTGGTAACGGCTCCAGCTGTTGCGGGGTCATAGTTTGCGGGAACGGGACCGTAAACCCAGATGGCGTTAACCTTGGGTGCGTCGCGCGCCTGGGTTGGGGACATCTCGACGACGAGCGTAGTTGTAGGGCAACTGACAACCTGGAAAAGGCGCGAGTCAACTATTGAGAAGGTGCAAGCGTTTGCTTCACATGTTCCGAGCTCTGACGAGATTATTATTCGGAAGAGGTGGAAGGCAACTATTCAAAAAACGAAACAAGGTTGTCAATTTCAAAGCGGTAAACTAAGGAGCAGATCGAGCAGACCAAGAAGGCTGGAAAAACGAAGAAGAATGAAAGGGCTAATACATAAGGGCTAATACATGCGTAGGTTCGCGACCTTTTTTGTTGGGCACTCTGGTGCACCTCTGGTGCTTGATACACACAATTCTCCATCCGCTTTGTAAAGGGCCTCATTTCAGACGGCCCTTCGAGTTGCCGCAATTTTGCTCCACTCTACGTTTCGTACTCGTTTTCACTCTCTTGGCATGAACACCACGAAAAAGAACAAGAGCAAGAGCGTTGCTAAGATGCTGAAATAGACGAGGAAGGCAAGAGATTTGCTGAAACCAGCTCAGGGCTCCCTGGCCTTCAAAGCAATCCCGACTCCACGGACAAGCGACAGCAAGTACCGAACACTTTTGTACTCGCACACCTGTACTACTGACAATTTCCCGTCAACCGGGTTAAACCTTCTGGGTTCAATTAAGGCGATATGTTTGATTCTTCGAAGCTCACTTTTGTAGAAACTGCGGGGACATTTCCCGCTTGCTTTTCCACTCGGTCCAAAGACCGCTGAGTGGAAGATCTCTTCCCACTCACAACCAGCGCGGGGCGTATTCTCACTCTCTTGCCTGAGACTTACTCTGGATACGGTGGGAATCGGCACGAACTTCTGGTTGCCTGCGTCGGCGAAGGTGTCGATTGGGCCTTGAGAGTCGGCAGGGTTCAGATTGTAGTGGATGTAGAACACCCGGAGGTTGGGCCTATTCACATTGATCACCGGGTCCTTGCCCGAAGTCTCCGCAAAGTAGGAGGAGACGTAGTAGTTCCCTGGGGCGGGGAGTGTGAAACTGCACGGAGCAGGGAAATGGTCAGAGGGAGTAAAGCGATGGAGGGTGTTGCAAAACTTCGTTGCAAGTAGGTGGAATATAAAGATTGGCGGGTTTCAAAGAGTTTGCGCGAAGTTGGTAAATATTAGAGTAGGCCATTCTCGGACTAAAGATAGACGCTGACAATCATTCTTTTCAGCGAAGAGGCAAGAAGCTAAGCACTTCGAATTTTGGCGATCATAGCCCTCCTTTTTTTATTCTCACCTCGTTTGACTCCCATCTTCTTATTTGCCGGTCCTTCAGACCCTTTGCAATCTGCTTTGGAGCGCTCACGCGAAAGGACACAATTCCAGCTTTACACGTGAATCAAAAAAGCTCGACGAAACGTCAAATATTTCAAAAGAGGGTTCAATTCTTGAATCTCTGAGCCTCAAGTTCTCTGGCTCCTTGAATCATGTGGAAAGCGCGCAAAGACTCCACTTCGACCCCTCCTTACAGAGTACGCCTGCTGCAAACGAACTTGCGCAGACAGCACACACGAACTGCACGCACCTCTCGTTGCTTACATCACATGTGAGCAACGACACTACGACATTTATGATGTTGATCCGCTGATCTATACATATTCTCTTCGTTTTGGAGCCAGCTCCTTGCACTTACCCAGTGGATGAAGGTAGAAGAGAGGAGTTTCCAACCTCTGTGAACCAGTCACTAGTGAAAAAACAAACGAGAAATAGTGATGAGGGGAGGACTTACTAGTAGAAGTTCCACCCGATCGACTCGGACTGGAAAATGGTGGGGTCGGTCGTGTTAGCAATCTGCTCCGTTGTGGCTGCGAGGTAGCCGCCCTGCGGTCCGTCGATGTTGGACCTGGGCAGAATCGGACGGTCAAAGTGAGCCTTTCTCGAGCCTCCATGAGCACTCTTGTGAGTCCCAACCCACTTCGAGAAGTACTTTACTCAAGATAGGCGTCAGGGAATCTGGTGGTGTTAGCTGGGTGGTTAGGATGGGTTTACATACGTAAATTTGTGGGTTGAGTGTTTTCGGTCAAGTGCCCAGTTATGTTGAATCTCAAGGAAATGGTCCTTCTACAAAATGGAGGTTACGGATATGCCCCAACCTTGAACCATCGCCTTTCAACGAGTTGCAAAAGCGGTCCGAGTCTCTGATCGTTTGCACAGCGTTCTTGTTGGCGCCTCTTGAGTATATGCCTGCGCCGCGAGATAGTTGATAGCAAAAAATCTTATTTTAGCTGAGGATCAAGAGAACACGTGAAAATGGAGCAGGCGCAGCAAAGCGCGCTTCAATAAAAAAAAAAAGGCCCGGAAGATCGACGTGATATCATCACTGACGCTGAATTGATCCACATCGACGTCGATTCCGTCCAATCCGATGCCGCCAGCTTGACGGCCTATGCCCACTCTTAGGTTCGAATCAGCGAACAGGCGGGTGGGTCAAGAAGCAGAGCAGGCGAAGTGCATCAACGGCGGTCTCAGTACACCAAGCACTACCGGGATAAAGCTCAAGCGACCCTGTAATAATGGTATTCGACTCCGCCATCAAGTTACATCACTTGCCCGGAAGTTGTAGGCGATCATCAATTCAAAGTCGACGCCGATTCTCGTCAGCAGGTAACCTCAGGACTGCCGAGAGCCTTGAACGTTTCATGATCAAATGTTGGGCGTCGAAGGTGCCAAGAGCAAACACCGTTAAGGTACTTTGGTTCGCAGCACTCACCGGCACCACCTGAGGCCGGCCGGAACCTGGTTATTTGGGGTGCAACGTGTCGCGTCCTGGTAGTCCTCTTCGAACGTCACGCCGCATGATGACACATATCCCCCGCCCCCGGTGTTAACAGCCACGTTGAGGGTGTAGGGTGGGGTGTATGTGGGGCAGGGGGCCAGGCAGTTGATCGCCTGCAGAGAATTGACGGCTTAACTTAAGAAAGCCCAACTTTCAGAGCGACGTTCCGGGCAGTTCCGATCTGCCCCTGAAAGTTGATATTGCTCGAGTACAACACACCCTTTTTTTCACTTTGCAGATCTGCCGGAGAGATGTTGGCACAAAACCTCGTTGTACAGCTTTTTGTGCCAACAACTAAAAGCAGTACCACTTTGGGTGTGCCCAGTGAGCGCTGGTGTGCGGCAGTCCAACCGTTCTCCATTCAAGTCTTTGACTAGGATTGCAATGATTGATCAAGGTCCTAGATACGGCTTTTTCCAAGCCCTTGTCACTATAAGCTCCTCGGTCAAACAAGCGGAAAGATTTGCAACAGAACCCAAATCTCCTGCGCTGATTCTCTCAAGGATTAGGTCTTTTCAAGGAGTCAATCAACGAGCTTTTTGAGCTCGAAAGACCTAATGATGGAAGCATGGTCTGTTCGTTTCCAAACGCAGATCGGTCTGCTTTACTGGCAGGATTACCGTGTAATTATCTGCCTGATGTGCCTTGCAGGAACCTCGTAAAGCTTGACACAATATTCATACAGGCAAGAACGAGAACCAGAACTTCAGCAAGCCTCGTAAAACTAGCTGCAAATATTCATACAGGGAAGAACGAGAACCAGAACATGAGCAAGCCTCGTAAAATTAGCTGCAAATATTCAGGCCGTTACGGGACTACTTACAGCAGCTTCCGGTCCAAATCTAAAACTTGACATACTGAACATACACGTCGACACGGGCGGAACAAAAAGCAGGAACAGGCGCAAGCCTCTTAATGCAAGTATACATGCCATTACGGGACTCCCCAGACAAGCTTCCGGTCCAAACCGCAACCGCTTACCTGTGGCGCCGCGCCGTTCGCCGGGCAGGACGGGTTGGCTGCTGCACTGCCTCCGTACGTCGCAACCGGGGGCAGGGGCGCCCGGGGCGCGTCAGCAGCGGTTGCCACGTAAGCGAAATACGGGGTCGGGGGCGGGGGGGCGTTCGGGGTCGCGGGGGGGGGCGGGCGGGGCCGGGCCGGGCGGGTCGGTACGGGCGGGACGGGGGGGGCGAAGG